GGAACAGTTTCCTCTGTTGGTTCAGCTCGTTCCTCGTTTTGTTCCGCAGGTCGCTCCAGTTCGAGGTCGCCAGTTACCTTGGCTTTTCCCTTGAGGGCAGCGACGTAGCACTTATGGGACTCGAGCTGGTCATCCCGCACTACCCCGATGCCGAAGTCCGTTGGGAACTTCATCGCCAAATAGTAAGTGGACACCACGGCCTTTAAAGCATGGATAATTGGCCGACCTACTATGGCATTATAGGGGGAGGGGGTGGAAACCACTAAGAAGTCGTGCCTGAGTCTTACCGTGCTAGGCCACGTGCCGACTTCCACAGGTACCGTGACCTTTCCCAGGGGTCTGACCTCCTCTCCGCTGAAACCAACCAGCGGGGTGTTCGCGGGCTTCAAATCACTCTCTTGGAACTAGAGTTTGTCGAAGGCCGCTTTAAAAAGGATGTCTGCTGAACTGCCGGAGTCAACGAGTACGTGCCGGACTTCGAAGTCGTTGATCTTCACCTTTATGACATGTGCATCGTCGTGGGGGTAGTGGACCTCGTGTGCATCGTCTTCGGTGAAGAATATGGGGTCTTCCGTCCTACGCCACTTTGGGGGTTTTGTTCTTCTCTGGTGGCCTCCCGGGTTGATGCCCAAGCTGCTGCCAAGGTGCATCCTGCTACGATCGATCCTCCAACGATCACGTGGATTGTTCCCCGAACTGGTCTTTCCTCTAGGGACTGCTTCTGCGGTTCAGTTGGCTGGCTATTGGATTCGAGAGCATCTCTGTTGTGCTCCCCCTGCCGACTTGTCTTATTACTATTATTATTATTATGCTGTACAAAATTTCTCAAGTACTCGCGACAGATAAGTTCTATCTCGTCGCGGAGATTATTACAATGTTCGGTGCTATAACCGTTGTCTCTATGGAAACTGTAGTACAAGTTTTTATTCCTCTCGTTCGGGTTTCCCGTCAGATGAAGTGGCCACTTCACATACGGGGCATCTTTGATCATCATTAAGATCTCGGCCCGCTTCGCATTTAAGGGCGTGTAGTCCGTCCGACCTGCTAAGGGAGCTTGGAACGGATGGCTTGGCTTTGTCCCCTAAGGTGAGTCTTTCTTTCTCCTGTCATCTGGGTTGGAGGGCTCGCCTTCCCTCATCCTTTTTTCGATCCCGCTTTCAGTCCTTTGGTTGATCTCTTCCTCTATTCTTATAAATTTGTCCGTGAGCTTGAGGAATTCAGCCACGGTCGCGGGCTGGTTAACTACCATGTGCCACCGGAACTCCTTGTGTGTCACACCCCTCTTGGCTACCGCGAGCTGTACCGCGGGGTCTAGGCGCAGTATCTGCAAGCACGCGTCATTGAACCGTTTGACATAGCCCCGGATGGACTCTCCTTCCCTCTGTACTATTCCGAGGAGGCTCTCCTCGGTTCAGGGGCACCACTTGCTAGTAACGAAGTGCGCGGTGAAGACTTGCACGAACTAGGTCCAGCTTCTTATCAACCCGGGGGCCAGGTTCCTGTACCAGGTGCGGGCCACTCCCCTGAAGGTTGTAGTGAACGCCACACATGCAGGATTCATTGGCCCTGGCCAGGTGCATTTGGGACTAGAAAGCATCAACGTGGTCATTGGGGTCAAAGGACCCATCATACTTGTCTAGGGGAGGGAGTTTGAAATCTTTGGGCATGGGAACCGCAA